TACAGCTCCATTTCTTCGACTAGTTATAAATAAACACCTCGTTTTGTAAGTATGAAACTGATATATTGGCGTGTAATTTTAAATTATAGCGATCAATGGTATGAAAGCCCAAACAAGTTTTTGAAACGGTTAATAATAATAATAATAATAATAACAACAAAATAGAAAGTATGATGTAAATCGATAGGATAGTGTAGCTTGAGTAATTCTTTCTTCAACTCTGATTTGTGACAGCAAAAAGGCCTCTCTTAAAGATCGTACGATACAAGGTACATAGACGAGAAACCGATTTTTTCATAAGCAGCTGCACATATCCTAACCTAAGCTTTAACTGGCCTTTGAAAGGCGACAGATTAAATTGCTTGGGGGAAGTGGGAAAGCCTTTTTCCGTATTCTAGACTCTTTCCGCGTCTTTGCTTTCTGGCGGCATAGCGCGCCGACACGTGTGCTAATTCGTGGGAGGTGGCACGAATGGCATAGGAAACATATACGGAAGGGAGAACCGTTTCACGCGGATGGTCAGCTCTCCTGGAACTTCCTCAAAACTCGCCTTTTACCTTATTCCGATGAGGAGTTCCATAAATTTATAGCTAGATAAGAATGACGCGGCATGCGCCTATGCAGATATTGCTCAGTACTGACTAGCGTGTTTGTTGTCTATTATAATCCGTCATAAAAAGGAAAATGAGATGTGACAGTGTCATCCTAAGAGAATTACAGATACAGTAATTATTATAGATGTCTTGTTTGGCTTGCGTCAAGTGTGTCAGAGCTCTTTACTAAAATAGAAAGATATAGGGACGAAAGAGAAGATGCGCTCAAATAAGCGTCGATAGTGGCACTCACGCTCGTCAAGCGTTGACACATTGAGTGTGGTGCCATGAAAAAGACGAGCTTTCACAGACCTAATTGAACTTAAATGAACAAGAAAACCTGTTCTGATATTTCTATATTTTTATTGGATACTTTTGATAGGAACTATGTTAAATCGACAGGTAAGTAATTATTGTATCTACAAAAGCAGTTTTGAGTTTGCCCATATCTGACTCTTTACCGTATGGACAACAAGCTTTTCGTGCGTCCAGTACCTGAATACGCGTACGTCCATTGAGAGATTCGTTAATTTTCTATAAAATTTTTCGCTTGAAAGTGTTCGTTCGAGTACAGCCAAAAACAGGGAGACCAGAAATGCTTGTTTTTACGAGTTGAAAGTCTTCTTTGACAAAATTTACCATATCTATTGCCGGCTGCCTGTCGATCCTTACCGACCATCATCAATTTAAGGGTGTCGTTTCGTCCATGATTATTTTCTAGGTGCACCAATACTCAGAAACTAATTGGCAAACACAACTTTCAACGAATCGTTTTGTACTTTATTGATAGCTTAGGGATCGATACTGTCAATAGATTGCGAACAAAAAGGTTTAATAAGAGCATGATAGCATTTTAGGCAAATTTTCAGCGTCTATAAACAGAGGCTCGCTTTGTAACATATCGCGTACATACGTCATACAAACGTTATGCGATGACATCAGCATAATTCTTTCACTTCGTTTGGTCAAACTATAGTGCACCATTAGCCTTTTCATTCAGCTGAGGAAGATGCAGGCAATAATTTTACTTCAGCCATAAATCTATATGTTTTACGGATGATTGACGTACGCCAATTGTAGGCGCATGATTTCTTTCCCCTATATATCTAGTTGTTATAGCGTATCTTCGGATTCGTTCTAGAGGAACGTTCTAAAATTAACTAAAGTTAATTTTGTTTATTTCGTAACCATGCATAACTTAAGTTGAACCCTGACAAATATATATACAAGCAGTTGTTGGCTAAGCGAGCTCCACAAGTCGTTCGCCTTGCGAAGATAACGCTAGCCCCATAGAAATTTCACATTATGATTAAATTTACGGCTAATTATCTTTTAAAATAAAATGCATTTATTGTTGAAGCATCGGACATAAAGTTTCCTAAGGAGCAGAGGCTAGGATGTACAATAGACCGTTTAAAGGTACAGCGTCCTGGCACTTGGATACAGCGTTATCTTCTTTCTTGTTTAAATCAAATACGTATGGTATTACTTAATGAGTACTTTCGTTTTAAGGAAGAAAATGCATTTTCAAAGTCTTCGACAACAATGCGTTACTTTGACAATGCATGGTCTTCATCTTGTAATTCTTCTAGATTCTATTATTATTATTATTATTATTATGTAATTCTAGTAACGATCTTAGCTCAATTCATGCTAGCAAATTACTCGATTGATCCTTAGTTACGGCAGAGTCTTTTTCAGCCTAATTATATTTTTCGTCAGTATATGTTCTGTCTACCTGTCTAGTTATGATACTCAACAATTATGTAACCTATTACAGTATCAATATATTTTTTCCATACGTGGCCGACTCTGCGGGGGACCGATTTAATGGGTGAGTTGGTGTATTGACCACGACTTACAATTTACATAATTGAGAAGATTTTCTTCGCAGCATCATACCGAATCGTGTGCATCTGTCCCAAAGCACGTTCGCTCATACGGTCGTATAAGTGGTGTCTATTTCACATCGTGCCTCCGTTTGTACTAAGTGTCAATTACATTTATTATGCGAACAAATTGCGGCACTGAGAATACATGTACGTACAGCAACGGGTTAGTACGACGCCACTCTTGCCCCCGTAATGGCCTAGAGGGCGCAACGTAGAGTAGCAAAATGTTTTGACAAAGTGCGTGTCCAAATCGATCCCGTTCAGATCGATTCTTTTGTGTAAACTAAAGTACAGCTGGGCTGCTGATAACACGACGGAAATTATAACAAAACGCGCCGGTCCCTCTGATATTTTCCGAACTCAGGCACTCTGCTAAATCCACCATCGTCACGCATCCTCTACTTTGTCGTAACTACTCGACATTGATCAAAGCCATACAGAAGACGGGCAAAATACATCGTTAAGTCGGGAGTGACACTGGAAAAACGACTCGTGGGAGGGCGATAGAAGGAAAAGCACAGATCCTTTGTATGCAGAATAACAACAATAGTGTATCGGTCCAGATTATCATGTATTTAAAATGCAATTAAAACCTGAGTGGCATACGTTAGGCCACCTACCTAATCGCTTAAACAGTGTTCTAAATATCATATAGCAACAAATAACGACGCCAAAGCTTGAAGAGTGCCACCTTATCCTATATCATGTACCACAGTTTGCATAGTATCAATTATGGGTCGAAAACGAAAGCCATAGCGGATATACAGAACGGAATATTTCGATTTAACAAGTTTCGCTTATTAAATCTTAATGTTTGTTGTATGTATACTTTAAACGGTCACCTGTATCATTTTAATATTTAATGTATAATATTTCGTTAATGCACAGTACTTCAGCGTTATTTCAAATAATAGGCTGAAGTTTGTCTGCTTTTGCCAGCGCGCGCTTTTGAATTAGCTAAGTGACCCGCTATACCGCGGACGTGCCCAATATTGGATGCTTTCCTATTGAATGTTGTCCGCCTCGACGAGTCTATCGCAGCTATTGTTAGCGTAGTATTTATGCGTCTAGAAACAAATGTGTATAGCAATAGATTCTCTTTTTGCCAACAAAGTAGAGTAAAAAGAAGGGCCGGGATATTTACTACTTGAACCAATCCATTCGATAGGTTTATCGCTACACAGCCACGTACGATCGCATCAGTCCTCGAATTTCCCAGCATTAGAACCCATCGTCTACAAGCTGCCATATTTAAATCCGATTTAGTCTTCTATTGAATGCTCATCCGTACCTAGTAGTTTGCGTGCCCACATTCATACACGCAACAGTTTCTGGAGCTCTAATCAAGAACAAACTGCTCAGCGATCGTAGGTACGCATCAAGCAAGTGGACCTATACGTGGAATAGAAGTAGAACGTTGCCTAATACCGTGGTCAGCATTACTGTGTTGCTTACAATAGTCACGTATAGATGGAAGCTCTGCTTCTTGTTGAGTTGTTTTGAAGGTCGCAAGAGTTTCCTCTCGAAATTTTGCTTTCTTCATAAATCGCTTTGCCAGTCAATGGTTTATCAATACATATCTGTGATACATACATTTCAAGAGCTACCTACTGAACTCTTATCAGCTACCGCCTAGGCTGTTAGGCTAACAGAGAAACTTTACTACAATTTCATCTAAGGACTGTATTGATGGCGCTTATGCAGTTCGTACATCTGTAAAGGATAAATATTAGCTTCGTTTACTCGCAGAGATATTAAGCACCGTTACGAGGCTCGAAGCAGCGACTCCTGGTACCTTTCAACCTGAGGCTTAGCTATCCAATCCACCATGTCGGTTTATAACAAACCTAACGGCATTAAATACAAACGCATATTGAGACAGAATTTTTTACATTCGCCGATACAAACATTCCCAGTGGACGCGTGTATTCAAGGTTATCTACTTTGATTTAATGTTATTTCTAAACCTTACAGGCCGATGTCCAAAAAATCGTATATAAATGATTTTGTAAACACACTTTTTAACATTGGCAGTTTATGGTTCGATGTTGTCGTATCGGGTCTCAATACGCTCTAATTTAATTACGCTTCGTCTGATACGCACTACCTGATCAGATTCGAATCTATCCTGCTAGGCAATTATAAGTTCGTTTTTTCAGGAAATAATTACGCGTTTAGGAGGCCAGCCATATTCGTGGAAGCAAATGCGCTATCGTATTGAAAAGCCTATGGTCGGTTTCATTACTGTTTTTGAACTATTCAAAAACTTTTCTGCTAATGGATACGCGTTTATAAATAAATAAGGCAACGTGGTGTATCATGATAATCAGCATGTGGGCATTGGGTGGAAGTTTTGTCGAACGTACAATGGAAACAGAATCTGGATCATACTCAAGCAAGCGGTTATTCCTATAAAAGCGACTTTTGCATCCACGGTGGATTTTCTTATAGCCGAAAAAAATTACGATGATTTGCCGTTCCGTGCATGAGAGAAGACAGTAGCAATATCCATCGACGAAGTCACTAGTATATATATATATATATATATATATAAATCACAAGTATAATACTAAGCGAACTTTTTCCTGACGTTGATGGCATAAGACTTGTACCTTAGCTTCGCGTGAACCAGTTGAATCCGCTAGGCCGCTAAATTTAGCCGCCAAAATGTGCAAACATAATTTTTTGGCACCTTTTCAAATACTTGTAGAGTCATGTCATGCGTTTCCCGATGTAGAATAGCGCTTCGAAGGCCGCATCCTTACTTACAATGAGGTAAGTCGTTGATTTCGGGTTTATATCTTTTTATAACCTAGTAGGAATTTACTTGCGGCCAATATATTAGACATATTAGCGGATGCTTATGTCGATAAACATCCAGCCAAGATGTGTCCCAGTTTATCTTGAACACCCTGTAAACGAAAATGCACTCTTGTCCAATTATACAGCTATTAAATTCGGCCGGACAGAGGGGGAAGACGTTTGTATCGGAGTACATTCTCTAGCTGGCGTAATGCCCCATGTTGACATGCTAAATTAAGCCCTGATTTAAACGTTAATTTGTACGAACACAAAACGAGGACTCCTACTGCTCTTAAGAGGCGGGAGGGGTATATATGGAAAACTAACGCTCGCTTCGATCGTTGTTCCCGTCGACAACTTCAATTTAAAGTGTATTTACTTTGTAAGGTTCTGACGAACAGAAAGAGCCACAAAGAGATCATGGCATCTTTGCCAAAATCACCTCTTCGTCCGTATCTGATGACTCTTCAGGTTCACCAAGATATTACATAACCATTCATTCTAGACAAAAACAAACAGCTGGAGTTCGGATGCTGCAGGAAAAATATAACTTAAAAATTATGGGCAGTGGATACTGATGACGACAAGAACGTGTATGGTAAGGCCCATAGTTTCAGCCATCTTATTAGTTCTCAAAAGAGCGCTATCACATTTGTCGAGTTCCGTTGCTGTCTATAGCATACTTTTATGTTGTTTTAACGAATCTACGTCATTTTTTAATGAGCTTGCCTTTTCCAAGTGGAAGTTTCGCTTGTTTTATGATTTCGTCAAGCAAATAACCTACAGTGAAAAAAAAAAGCAGAGAAAGTTGTGCGAACCAGTTACAAACATGCAACTGCTGAAGTTACCACTTCATCCATGTAGGCTGGTTAGGCTCCTCTTTAGCATGCATAGGTGCACTTAGATAAATGACACAGGTTGTTGTCACAACATTTTTGTTCATTCAGGCCTCTGTCTAATAGTAATGCTATTTGGATATAATCAAGTTCTTCTCTTTGTTTAATAGTTTCACACAGCGAACAACGATACTGCCGGAAACTTTTTTAAATGATAAAAAACATAGAGTTTGTCGAAATTCGTTGAAGAAATAAAAGCCCAATATGGTCCTATGCGTGAAACAGGGTGAACGGAAAATGCAGTGTCGGCCTCCAAAGGACCTTGCTTATTCCTACGCATGACGTTCGAATGGTCTTTTTATCTATAGTTCTACATGACTGTGCCAACTCGCTTGGATATGGCGAAATTTAAAACGATCTTGAAGATTAACAGAAACCAAGGATAATGATGCGGGACCTGTAGGGGTGTCATGAGAAACCTGACAACCATACGAATCTGCACTTCCATTGTTTGGCTGCATACCAAAGACAGACTTCAAATCCAAGTTCTTTCTGCCTTCAAATTACGAAACAAAACGGTCGCTGAAATTGTGCTGTTCTCATGGAATTTTTATCGAATGGGATAGTAACCAGGTGCAAAATCTCTAGCTAAACCCTGTAGAACGTATTGTTGATAATGAAAGTAGTTTTGTTCATTGCTTTTAGGAAAAAAAGAGTAAACTGTTTTGAGCTTCTTGTACCTTTGAAAGATTTATGTTTATTAGAAACGAAAGAAAATTTACGCTTCACATGTTCCTCATCTTTGCTGCTTTATCCATGCAGCGATAACTCTAAAATCTGCCCCGGCAAATTACAGGATTTTGGTTGTTTTTGCAACAACAAACTTGTTGTGCCACTTGCCTACAGAAACGATACTCCCTACAAGACTACAAAGATGCCATGATGTTATACTAAATATTTCGTAAACCAGCACTCATATAAATGGATGCTTACAAAACTTGTTACTGATCATCATTAGATCAAAATGCGAAAAAAAAGTCAGCTGACGCAGAAACTTCAGCTTCAAATACACGCACGTACATCTACGCCTTTCAACACCAAAGTCTCAATAACTTCCCGCTTTCAAGCAGTGCAGCACGCACTCAAGTAATGGTTCCCAACGTCCGTCCGCTAATGAACGTGTATCTCTGGGTTCCGTCGCAGTAGTTTCACTCACAATGGCCCATCGTCAATATTACATTGCACCCATAGCGTTGACCCGCTTAAGCAAGGGAGGTTTTTTGCATTCCTTAACATGAAACCTTCTGGACAACTAGGCTCACTGACGTGGACGCGTCTGCCCCACAGTTTTGTCAGATCGAAAGAAAAAGAGGTTGCGGCTAGTGTAACCCAGACCAGACTAGGGCAGGATGTTTTCTACATAAGTGACGACGGCCAGGCAAACGTGGCCCATCTGGAGGGAGAGTTGTACGTGGCGCTTCTTAAAGAAACGCCCAAAACTCCAAAAGGCAATTTAATGCGGCGAAACGAGAGGCAAGATATCATGATACTAAGCGAATACGGAGGGCGTCCCCAGGGAGAACTGGCGCGATTCACGCTATCCGCTACCACCCCTGTATTGAACAGCCGCTACACTCGAAGGGCGGTGGCAGAACAGCAACGTGCAAAAGACGCAGTAGCAAACAATGGGAGTTTTAAGTTATTAAATTTAGTGGAGTCTCTCCCTAGGACAACGTCTCGTTTGGTCCTGTCTACAAGGCAAAGCACAAACGAAGCTCTACGTCGCCATCGTGACGGCACCTGATCCCGGGTCGTCGTCGTCGTCGTCGTATGTGATCACTGATAGATTACTGTCGTTACTACAAAGACTCTTGCTGATCTATCTGCAGGCATGTGCGTATATTTGCAGCGTAGCTACTTTCTTCAAGATGGAACGAATGAGAAAAAGGGACGTGGGCTGTTTATTTTCGGTACACTCCGAAGGTGAACGGATCATCAAGTCAATCGCCGGTGCCTCCCAACCTTAAGCGGGTCATCGACAAAAGCCACTTTCAAGGAGGCACTGCCTTCTAGAACTCAAGCTCACTTGCTTCACGCGCTTTATTATAAATTCCTCAGTAATAGAGGTACTTCCTCTTGCGATCTTGACATGGGCTGATCCAGCGATTGACTTGATTTTTCAACAACAGCCATCAAGCAGTATGACCTCTTCCCCAGCAAACGCGCTGTGCGCCATGGGGCAGCATGAAAAAAAACGTTGATTCGGAGCCTTCGGAACAAAAACTGAGACAAATCAGCCTCACTACGCAGTGGTCAATGTTTTTCCATACGTGGTCCTTTCGCTATCTGTAGAAGACCAATTTTGTCACCTGTCGAAATCTCTGCCATATTCTTCTAGATTTGCGAATGCATCTTGCTAGTCAGTAATGTTGAAAAATACGACTTGTATAAACTGGCGCTTGAAGTTCTGTTTTGCTAGACCAGTTCTTTTGGGCATTCGGGCTACCACGTCGCATTCTGAATACATCGGAATATCTGAGGAATGTTTATTGAAAACAACCAAATAGGCCCCAATCAATTGTAGAATCTCCGCATTGTTCTTTAGAGCTAGTATTTCATTCTATGTCGACCTCCACAGGTTCAATTAGTATCGTTTGCACCCAGTGGATATATCAGAACTATTAGTAAAACAGCGAGACATTTACGTTTAAATTTAGATCTACTCTCTCTAAATAAATAAATAAAAACTTTGCCGTCGCTGTCATAACCTTTGTAATTAGTATGTACATTAGCGATTTCCAGTTCGTTTGGACTCTGTATGCAAATTAAGCTACACTTTCAAAAGATACCATGTCAATTATAATCACTATGTTGACAAAATTATCGAATTCTTTATCAAATACTTTCCACCATTTTTAAGGATCAACTAATAAGCAAGACCCAGCTATTTAGATCGAAATTTACAATGTATGCTGGGCTTACAAGCTGGTTTCACCTCTGTGCTAGCATTACGTCGGGTCGTACCGATGTTGGTCCAACTCTAGCCAGCCGAACTTCTGACTAAAGTTCTAATATTGCAGGCGGGAAAGTGAGTCTGCAATCTGCGCCATTTCGGTAACTCGAACAGGGCGGTTACCGGCTGCCAGTAGCTCCTTGCGTAGCTGTACCAGCTGACGAACGTTGGCCGACCAGAGATAGTTAGTATTTAGCTTAACAGATGAGTTGCCCTTCTTTTTCTAATAGGAGCACTTTCTAATAGGATGAACACACATACGTTATGTTAATCCAGCTTGAAACTCTACGGAGGTGTAGATCAACAGCAACTGTAACGTTCAAACACTGAACGGCAGCTCGTATCGAGACGAAGTGATCAACCCCCACCCTTACGTGAAGTGTTGAACAGCTCTACGATACGATCCGACATGAATACACAAACAGACGCATTCGCTTAATAGTCACCGGGTCACGACCGGTGAAAGGATTCTGATGCTTTAACAAGGCGTTTGGTCGGCACGGGTAAGTATTTGTAATGTCCATTCATATCGGAACTACTGGAAACGACAGAAAAAAAAAATTCCTTCATTCTGCTAACTCTTAACGTCTAATAATCCCTGATTAGTTACTAAATTATTATTAAAACGATAATAGAACGTCGTAACATGGTGAATGTATGCTGCATGAATTTAATCCACAGTGTATATCAGCTCAAGCCTGTAGTTAAAACAGTAGACGACTGTATATTTATCGGTAACAATTCTGGTACTTTCAGTTTACCCCAATTCGGATGTAACTTTTCGTAATACCATAACTTTACATATTGTCAGGATCAAAACACCTTCTCTGAGGCGGTTCAGCGGCGAAAGGGAGACCTCACGTGACCCATCTGTCGTTCGTGGCGTCACTGAACGACCATGAGCGGATGCACGACCTATTCTATCTGCCCTTCTTGGGGGAAGGGGGTGCCAACAAATTGCAGCTTCCATGGCGTACTATAGATAATACGCAGCTTGCTACGTTGCTGTAAATTAGCAAATTTGATAGCGAAGAGGCGCACTCCACATGTCTAATAGTTTTGAGAGCTCAATTTAGCATACGGTACGCGAGCCCTTTATGCTGTGTGAGAAGATTATAAGTTTGCAGCACTCGACAGAGTCTTGGTCGTCTGTTCAATATATATAGCGTCTGAGTTAACTTCGAAATGGCGATTGCTGATAAAGGCCCTCGAGTAACAATCGAGAAGAGCGCCCATGAAACAGGAATAATGACAGGGAACATGAATACTCTGGTGAAGTACAAATATGACTGATTTATAATTTTGAGGTAAAAAAAATGATCGAATCTATCGATATGATGTAATATGAACTCAAAGTGTAGGTCCTTTGGTAAGTAGGTAAGCAAGGTTGCGTAAATAATATTATGACCTCTTTCATACCCGATCGAACCAACTTGGTTAGCTGAAGGAGGATTTATCTCAATAGATCACGGAAATCTATTCAAGCTAGGTTCTAACGACTCCATACTTTTGTAAGTGATCTTGAACGAACACATTGCTTCTCCTCAATACTTCACCTTGGTGAGGAATAATATAAAGTGGTAATTCCTTATTCTGATGACCGCGTTCGGTTGTGTGTTTAAAAGTACAAGGCTACTTGGTCTGCTTTTTAACGATTTGCTTTTACTCGTAGGCAGTGTTGAGATCAGTTGGACACGTAAGATCAGCGGGGCGGCGACACAAAAAGACTGATATAGAAGAAAACTATGCAGTAAATCCGGTCTTCACTTCGACGAGTCATCTGTAACTTTTTGAAGGGCGACTCCGAAGGAAATCAACGTCTGTTCAGTGTTCGCTCAAACGCTGATGTCAACAGCCGGGCGACCACATGAGTGGAATCGATTGCAAATTAAATGCAACCGATGGTGTTTCTGCCTTTCTGAAATCGTCAGTAAAAATTAAATCAGCACGAACGCGTAATCGTGTAATGGCAGTATGTTTATTGGGCACTTTCGGTCGAAAAAATCTAACTTGCCGTTCTTTGTTTTTCTGAAAGACTAGCATATATGTATGTAAGTAGGGAGCAGGGTGCGGGAGGAAACTTCACGTTTTCCACGTGCACTTTTCGTTAGATATTACCTCTTCGGTTACTCTGTTATCGTACCAACATGAAGGAAAGATCACACTGCGTGAAACAAAGAATTGTTTTCAACAAGGATTTACCACGTGTATGGCCAGTCGACTTGCCACGAGCCAAAATCTTCACATGACTTCTGGCGTATTGTTGCTCTTCAACTGCGTCGTCCTTTTGCAGAAATGACTGTATAAAGGACAATCATTGAAAGAGAAATGGAAATTGTATCAAGTTTAATGAAGAATTAGCGTTCCACTTACAAGTTGAGAGGTCAATTAAAAAAGAGTAGCAGGTTTGTAATCATCGCGCGAGGTATTGGGTACCCTTTTCTTGCTTGATGCATAAAAGTTTAACATGTGTTTATCCAACATCTGTATTCGTAATGCCTCGTTCAGGCTGCGACATTTAATAATACTTAATTTACGGCAGTGCTCAACTGAACGCTACAAGCTCACGAGCCATAGAACGTTAACGACCGTCAGCTTAGTATTCTACAATCTATACTAAAGTGTTTATATGTATGCGTGTGTGCACGTGAGTCTGTGTATGTTCGTATTGTTGCACGGAAACGTACACCCAAGTACGCAGGCCAGCTCTCAACCCGCAAACAGATCACTTTCGTCATCGAAGTGAACGGTCTTGCTTCCTCATCCAAGTTCTATTCATTTGATCGGCGCTGCTAATTGCCTGCTTCTCTGCTGGAGCAGCGATCGGCTGGCAACAGATGGACTCTGTTTCGTATGGAGAGACGAATACGTTCGTATCCGGATATCTGTGCATGCATACGCGTGCAGCTGGCTACTCGGAGTTAAACGCAGGACTTATGTTCATGCGATACAAATAGAAGTAGACAGACAGAAGGAAGTCTAAGCGTTGTTACACCTCGGTTTCGGTGATTCAGATAGTTAGCTGGCGAGGCAGCAGTAGTCAATAACGGTGGCATTGGCCAACTAGTCTAGCACGAGAACACAACTGGACGGGAAAGAACACAAACTATCGACTGCTTTAACGTATTACACTCTGTCGCAAGAAAATCATTTGACTGCATATATATATATATATATATATATATTAACGTTAATCAGAAAATGGTAATAGATCTAACTGTGCTAAAGCTTGTTTGTGTTTACGTATTTCTCCTTAGATAAACCAGCCAATACGCGAAATCAAGTCAGATACGTAGAATGGGGGTGCGGCCTGTATTTGAATTGGAGGAGCGTGGTTGAGTTCGGCATTTGACTATGCACGAGGGCTAGGCCGAATATAATGTTGAGTAAGAAAAATGTTCAGCCTCAATATAAACAATAAACTAATAGAATACTAATTATCAGCAGCATTACAAAAATGTTATTAGGATTTGTTAATTAAATAAACACAGTCAAAATTATTACAGCCAAAAGGACAAAAACGACGACCAGGTATCGCTGTTCGATGAAACAGGAGGTTCTTCGCAGTCCCGAATCCTATTTGTATTGGTCATCCAGTCGGACCATGTTACCTGTCCATCCGACGACAAATAAACGTACGAATTGAAATTGATGCGGCATAGCATCAGAATAAGCTTATTCTGCCGCTGCAGTGCCGTTTGAATTTGATGGGCCTAGTGACCAACCTTGAACATCCGCGCTATCAGTTCTAAGAGAGCTTAGGCTCAACACGCCCTATCTGTACCTCAGATTCGAGTACGTATTTTCTGCAACATGTTGGCATTGCATTAAAACGACGATCACCTAGGTTGAAGTATAACGTACAAAACGGACCAAGCTGTCGTTATGTGCAACAGGCATCGTTAGCAGATTCGGCAATTTTCGAAATACTTCCGTATGAGACGCCACCGAACTATGATGCGTCGGTCTTGATTGGTCTCCTTTCGCGACAAATTAGCCATAATGAGACATTATCTAACTATTTGAGATAAATAATCTAAATGGTGCCTTGGTGCTAGCTTGATTGATGAACTTGGGGTAGTTGGATTGTCTAGCCGGGGGCGCACACGCTCGTTCACTTCGTTTTCATGTTGTGGTATTGCTATTCTGTTGTTTTTTTTTGTCAAACAACGCCATGTGCATTGTTGTCATATTGTTATGCATACAATTTATACAGTCTCGTATGTTCAAGAAAAATCTATCGAGACATATTTCGCCTCCCCTAATCAGTTTCTGAAGTCGTTCATGCTTTCTCACTACGCGAGACGAGGCTGATACGATTTCGTGACTTGTCATACACAAACATCCATTCCCTAATGTATCGCTGCGTTTGTACCTGTCACAGACTACAGCGCGTCCGTGAGTGTTGGTTTACACCAACCCGGTAAATTTTTATTTGGATTTACCAAGACTTTATTCTATGAGTATCCGGAGAATTCAAATGACCACGGAATCATCGAGTCTCATCAGTCGGTTCACACTTTTGCCAACTTCTTGAAAGCCGGTGCTGTTGCCTCTGTTATTTTTTTCCGTTTGTCATCAAAAGAGTTTCCATGCATTTGTGGAGCGGGCTGCTCCGGCCGCGAATCAGCATCGGCGGCCCACCTTGACTTGCTTTCAATATGGTCACCCACATACACTTACGTAAAGCTTGGCTTTCGCTGTATTGCGTTGTACACAATCACATGACTCGAAAGTTGGCCGAGGCTGGTTGTTTCGGCTGAGTTGGAAGCCATTATCTTGCTTGCCTCTTCGGCCGCTAGCTGGCTAGTCTCTGCGTTTCTCAAAAAGGTCATCACACTTCAGCTTTGTTTGCAGTTTGTTTGGTGGCTTCTCGGCGAGCGATTTTTGTGGCGTCTGGTGCTTTTTGTGGTACGACGGCGGGGCGGGACGGGACGACTGGAAGAAATGGATTTTCTGTGGCATCAATGAGTCCTCGATATGTCCTGCATCTACACAGCCGACTGTCAACTTCTATTCGCGGTTGCTAGCGCCCGTCGGATCGGTGCGAGCCGAGAATAAAAGAATTCAACACTTTCGATTTCATGGCGATAAAAACGAAAAAACGACTTCTATATTACTGAAATATATATAGGACTATGTTTGTGCAGTGACCTGTATTGATATACGTCATATGATGGCTAAGAAGTAAAAAACCGAAAATTTTATTCTATACACAAAAGAACGTCGAAAAGGCCCAACACAACTCACAGGGAAACTGTGCTGCCAAGAACATATTGGATGTTTTGAAAGCACATAAAAATATACAGGAATCTAGTCTAAACGAAGGCAACATACCTAGCACGATAATATAGGGACACGCCGCCTACTCCCTAATCTTACGTAATTCACGCGGTACCAGTATGTAGTACGTAGAGGTTGAAAGTTCCACGAATCTCTATAGTATAATGAGGCTATTTCGCATCTATGATGCAGTATGAAATGGCCCGCTCTTGTCTGAGCTTGCTAGTGCGTTATTCGACCTGTTTGTCATATCGACGCTCGTTTAATGCGCAATACGATTACGATACATATAGAGCCTTATAACTGTCGTAAAAGTCACGGTCCATTTTTCTTTAGATGTGCATCTTCTATTTCATGTAGAAGGTTGATACTACATGATAGATCTAACGATTGTTAGTAGAGCAGTTTCGACTAGCAATTTTTCAACTAGTCAACAGTAAATCTTCTACATTGTAGAGTAACAATTGGGCAGGATGTTTTCGGCCAGGTCTGCTCGCTAAACCAACTATCGTCTCTGCCATCTCCATTTATCGTGCTGGCGAGCGGACGTGCGTGCGTGCGTGCGTGCGTGCGTGCGTGCGTGCGTATGTGCCTGGTCACGCTCTGCTTGTGCGCGCTATTCATTTACCTTTTCCCTACCGACTCCACCGGATCGATTTAATTCGTTCCACAACTGCTAGCATCTCTCTTCGAAGTACGGTGTCTTACCAGGAAACATTGTAACCTTACGGAAGCCGATGCTTTTCCAGTGCTCAAAACCAACCCATATTTTAGGGCGACTGAATAATCTTTGTGCTCTTTTCATCTCTCGGCCATTACTACTGTTGTTATTAATATAACCCATTATATTTTATTGCTATGTACTCATCGCTATACAAGGCGTGTGTTATCCGCTATTGTCTGTAGTGGAGGGTATTTAGTAAGCATCTAATTAATCATCCATCGTTGGTTAGCAGCAGACGTTAATACCGTAAAACGTTTATTCATATTACAGATACACACAACAGACTAAAGACAGCCCGTACTGAGAGCAACCCTAGTGAAGTCTATCGTATTATTATATAGTACCTGAAATTTGTATCCGAGGCATCAAAATAACATATTGTTTCTGACTTCGGCATGCACGTATCACGCTCAAAGAGATTAATCTTGCCTCGCCTATGGCCCCGAGTTGCTATTCCATTTTACCTCAGCTCTGATAACTGATATTGGCATGGAAAACATGAAAGTTACAGTACTATAAAGGTAACGTGACTATTGGGAGTCCTGTAAAGAACCCTGCTGCAAACTCCAACATCCTTTCCAGCTAATTCTATTGTTCTGTTGGACGAGTCGTTTGGTCGGCCTCGAGGTGAACATGTTGGAGCTCCTACATTTACCCACCGCCAAGTGGATACCAGATAGCGATAGTGAAACCTAGGTAGAGTGTTAGCTTACATGTTTATATCCACGTTATTGTCATTGTATATTTCGCGTATGGTTAAACTAATTTTTAGCCGCTGCTGTGTCATTTTATCCAGATCATTTGGCAGCATAGCAATATTGACGAATTCGATCTATGTCTACTCGATCTATCAATTCAAGTGGCTAAACTTCAGACAGGGGTCACCTAAGCAGATTCCTTTCTTGGTTAAATTGGACGTGCGCGGTACGAGCTGATATAATAGTTACTGCTTGTATTATGGTGGCAGATAAAATACAGATTTATTTAACTCTACAGCTCAGCCTATCTGTGTAACTATATGGCTCTATATTGGCCCTTGCCCGTAATCCGGGATTCGTGATGACTTCTGCGCGCACTCACCAATAATGACCGTTCAACTCTGAAGTACATCATAGTAAGCAGTCTCGCTAATTCTTCAGTGCAAACTTCATACGTCGCTGTAACTGTGGGCATTCGTTCATTTAATTATTAAAGTTCGTACGCGCATCAAATATAGCTAAATCAATGATGGCCACTTGCCAAATCAAGGAAACCATGTTGATAGGCTAAGAAATCAGAGAGGAAACTTGTTGATCACATCAGGTCACAGTGATCTAACGAAATGTAGATTGCTTATCTACGAACTCGTGGAATATGTAGGGGACTGGTTGGCATTCGTCATTTCGTTCTGTTTTCGTGTGGTGAGAGCACATGCAAACAACGAGTGTTTGCATGTGCTCTCACATAAACATATCGCATATCCTATTCTGGAAGCTCTGAATTGTGATACACGACGCTGTAAACCGATAGACAGATCATTGGTCAGGCTTGAGGAGGAACGTCTGTATCTCCAGCCCATATACTGTTGTCGAAAATATCTTAGCCGTTTTAAAAACAGAATTGAAGCGAATATTTTTTATATTTTAGAATAACACTACTAAATTAAATGTGCGCCATTTTTATTAATGACCTTCCGTCATTTTTCTGGTAAAGCCGTAACGCCGTAATCGTGGAAGCTTTGTGGATCCTGGGCAAAAGATTATGACAAGTGATTTTTGCACCTTTCCATTGAAGCTAAATTAACATCGTTGCAGGAGTTCGACAACAACCGAAACAGATGATGGAAGTCTGATGGCGCAAGGTTTGGGCTGTATGGGCGATGCGTTAAAATTCCTGATTTAAGTTCTCCCAATTTTTGCCGGGTAGTCAAAGGCGTACGTGGTCTGACATTGTCATGATGGTTGACGACGCCTTTCCCATTCACTGATTTCCATCGATTTTTTCGATGGCTTGTCTTAATCTTGCTAACTGTTAACAGCACAGGTCCGAGTCAATCGTTTCGCGAAATCGCAGCAGCAGCAGCAGCAGCTCACAATGAGTGATTCCTTAACAACCCCGCCAAACATAGCCCCACGCCAGCGGCATCAGTCAGGCAAGATCAGGCAAAGATTGTAAAGCACATTTTGTTAATTTATTTTTCTCTTTATTTGCATTCTATTGATGTATGTAATCTACTTTTTATTACGTGATTGTGGGCACTTTGTGAAGGTTCGCAGACGGAAGTACGGTCGGAATACTTCACGTCAATCCGTGTGGCACCCAAACAACGAGTTCTTTTCGTAGCCATCTCCCCTCAAACTATTTAGTGCTGGATGTTTACTTTTTTTGGCGATATCACAACTACTGACGTGTCCGCTTTGCTTAATAGTTTCATCAGCTTTTTCCCTAATTGGTCGACCACTACGAGAAGTTCCTTTCATATCGACATCTCTAAATGAAAGCGACAGTGCAGCCCTTGGACCGTTTAATTCGGTAAGCCACCTTGGCCATAAACAGGGTAATTTGTTATGAACATAAACAACAGTCGTGTCTTTATCAAAATCAAATGAGTCTCTGCGGAAATTTCACTCATCTTAAGTACGTTCTATTTCAAATCTAAATAGAGATACGCCAACGATGCCGACCCAGACACGACTTAGATTGTTTGGGATGGGATAATACTTTAGCTCCTAGTTATAAAAACGGTTAGTTCTCTTTCGACAACACAATCTTATATTGATGGCGTAATAATTAATTACATTAGCTTTTACATACACCGGCTCGGCAAATTATAGGCACGACGATTTGAAGCAGATTGTCTGGTAGAAAGGAAAAGGAAATCACCACGCTTAATAGATAACTAGCTTGTCGTAGAAAAACAAAAATGATAGAATCTGAACGTGTCTAAAGGAAGTTGGCTGACGAATAGAGTCCATAAAAATAGAAATATCAAAAGAATAAATGAAAACATGGACGTTGTCATTTGTTGACTTATTGGTTAGATTTATATAGCTCCTGGTTGTTTCAAAAGCAAAATAACGTAACAAGCCGAATAATAAAATCGGCTTGTTATGTTATCTTATGAGGCGTACTCATAAATTATTGAAATAATTTCATTATTTTGTCACCCTCTCTTCAGGAGATTAGGATCGCAAATGCCGACCCATTATAATATACTGATCTGTGCGGCAGCGTAGCGTCCTGTAGCAATAGATTAATATACAGATAAGTTGATTCAGTGTTGTCTGATCGGTAGCTCTTTGCAATGTCGATGAACAGTGTATAGAGCTCCCTTCAATTTTACCTGCCATTCTAATTCCCAGTTTCGAAGGTGCTCTTTACGATTTTGCCAACCCGTTTATAATGTTTATACAAGAACTGTGCGGTCTGTCACGTTGAGCTTATCCACTATACTTTGGCTAGGTGAGCAGCAATTCCATTGCGCGCCCTACGGCTCCTCCACCTTGCCAACATCAGCTGAAGGGTAAATGATGTTCCCAGAAGGGCATGCACTCAGTGGCCAGTCCACTACGTTTAGCAGGAGACTCTTGTGAAAATTTTGACATGTCAGAAGTGTTGGATCACGATTATGATACTGACCACTAGCTAGCTGCAGAGAAAGGACGTACGGAGCAACATTCGAATCAAAGGGAAAACTGACCTGAAAAGAGGTATAGTTATGTTTCGAAGCGAAACCCTGCGTTTTTTTCCCTATGAATTCTAAATGCTCGCCTAGTAGTTCCTGTGCTCAGCTAGCTAAAAAACTTTTCCACTGGAGATAAATTCAGAATAGAAGAAAGCTAATTAGCAAAAACAAATAATATCATCATCACGATTCAATGAACTGAAAAAGGAAAGTGATTTTTCCTTTTAAGGCAGTGCAATGAACACTTTGAAATCTGTCCGCTTACTAGGGTTCTTTGTTTTTGCCGCTCACTCGACCTGTCTTGATCCCACAGATCATTATCTATCGTGCAGCGACGATGAAGTGAAGTTGGATCAACCTTTTTCCGTTACCATCATCTTTTAGGGGTTGGACAAACAAAAAGGAAAACAGCTAACGACCATAAAAATGGTGCGTTGTTGAACTTCATCAATCGACCGATTGGGCCTCAGTAATGTGTGACTACGAACCCTAGCCAGGGACAAATACACGCACACACGCATATATATATATATATAATATATTGTCGTCGGACAATAGCACAGATTTGCCGAAACGACACTCAGCTAAAGAAAATCGCGGTTATACACGGTCATGTATTGCCACCGCTCCATGGCGCCGCTGAAACACGTCGGCGGACTGTTCGACGCCGACCGCTGCTGTCACTGTGAAAGCTCAGGTAAGTTCCGCCCGTGATGGCACGCGTCTGGCAACTTTTGCCGTGTGTATGTAGTATTAATAGCCAACACAGTCGAAATTGCTACCGCTGGAAATCGCTATGGAGCTAACAAAAGGAGGGACCTTGAAACCCGAAAACCTGCATTTTGCCATTTTCTAGTGCTCGGAACGAGCTAATAGGATAGATACAGAATGAAAAAGACTAAGTGAGCTTCATAGAAGAAAACTATCATCAACAGAATCATTGCCGTCACCAATAACAACAACATCGTGCTAGTTCGCGTGTTCGTCTGATGCCACGTCGCATCAGCGCAACGAAACGCGACCGATCGCCCGAAGGATAGTCTCTTTGCGCGTCAACATCGCCGACAGCAACTATAGCATTTATTATTATACAACAACAATAACAACAACAGCAGCAGGAGCAACAAGAGCAACTGGAAGAAGGACGAACGAATGGAATCCGGCGCTGAGCGAACTCAGAAACAGCAATATCAACTCGTAAAGATAGTAGAACACATGGTGCAAGTAGGACGATAGAGAAAACGAAGCGCAAATGCAGAAAAGGCTAGGAAGGTATACCGTAGGAATCAACATCATCACCGGCGTGAAAATAACTGCGACGACGAAACAAATGCTAACAAGAACGTCGTCGCTGCAGACCTTTTTTTCTTCGTTTACCCGTGGACTTGTTCGAAATCTGCGTGGCTAACGAAGCAGGCGAACTTCGTGATGTAAGCGAACAGCACAACAAACGATGGATGACGATACTTAGAATGGCGACGGTGGCGGCAGTAACAACAACAATAAGAGCGAGAGAAATCGGTATCACCGATCCAGCTGGACGTTCCGGGGATGGCGGTGAAGATGACGGTGATCGTCTGCGGTCGTTGTCTTCATCGCTTGGGATACGTTCTTGGAGCGTAAAACAAAACCAGCTGAAACGAACGGGGCGGAATCTTCGGACCATCGGCAGACGATAAAAACTGGGTTTATTTTGAAGACACGGATCGGTTTTCGTTTGAGTGAGGACAGACTGCCATTTTTCTACAAGTAAAAACAGGGAGAGTCGAACAACAACGTAATCATTTAGAAGTGACCACAATCGAATATCATCGCATGCACAGGAACCAGAGAAGATACAATGGATATAATGGAGCTTACTGCATTATACGATGCATGCCATGTATGCGCGCATGCTATGGCTGATAAACATTTTTAGACCTCGGGGCAAGATTCGAATAGGCTGTTCTAAACATGCGATATCGAAACGTTGCCATACGATCCGGACGTTTGCGACCTGGCTGGTTTGGACCTAATCAGTAGGTATTATTGGGGTAACTTAACAAGCTTAAATACAATTTTTCAACTTGGGTTTTTTTTTTTTATCATATATTATATGTTTGCCGTGTTGATTTGAAAGTATTCCGCAACGTCTTAGCTGATACTGGATAATACAGTAGCTCGAATTAGTCGAGATTTCGAGCTTCGTTAAAGCAGTGGAAGCTTAGATGGTGACATACTATACATAGAATATACATACCTACGACGATTACATTGACGACTATAAAATAAATAAGGAATTATTCCGCTTGCTACTGAATAAGGCGTAAGCATCTGCCTCTGTGATGTTGCCTAGCTTATATAAGCGAATGCGCCGAACAATTAGTAGGTGCTAGTAACCACTGTATGATAAACACCGATGGTCACATTTCCTTTTTTCTAAAGCTTCGCCTTCATTCTTTCCTGCCTCGCCGTTTGAGGGTCATCAAACATCTAGCGGAAGTGGGCTTTTTTTTTTCGCTATTGCAATGAAAACTTTTTAGAGAGCGTAGTGGTTAGAGTTTTGCGTATCTGTATACTCGTTTAGTCTTTGTCGTATTCTCTATCTTAGGAGTTGCTCGAAAGATGGTCCAGAGGAAATAGCTTCAGTGGTAGTAAATTATATGGTAAAATAGGAATGTGAGCCATCTATGCGTTTTCTATAATTCAAGTGCTGAAGCCCAGCTCAAGCTGGACAGGAGGTAACTGCTATAGTGGACAGTTGCTCTTCACGGAGTTGCTAATGCTAGAACGGGATAAACGGCATAAATGCTATTCCTTTTACAGTCAAATATTGCCTCTCTGGGATCAGATTATTGTTTACGCCTTTAGCATCGCATAGTGGCTAGTGTTAAAAACTGTTCTTGAAGAGCGCGATTCCTTCAATTGTAACGCTGACTAGTAATCAACCTTGGCAGTTAACCAGGAAACCTCTTTTTCTACGTATGTTCTAATAGCGAAGCAAACGACACGAGACATCCGGTAGTAAAATGCACAAATCCTCACATTTCGTTTACCTCAGCTTCATCTAGGTAGAGTTCACCAAGTTTTACGTTAATTAATAGTTTTTTTAGTGGATGCCGACATTGGATATGTATAATCTATATACATATCCAAAATTTTTTTTCCAAAAAAAAAGAGCTGTTTCTAGTTCATGATAGCTAGGGCACCAAAAACATATTGCTTAGTACATAGACAGAGGAAATCTTGTCGTTCGATTGCCTAAACGATTTTCTCGAAGTCTACCGACTTATCTTCATTGTCATAGTTGACATGGCTGAGTTTAGCTTAAATGGCCCCTAAATGTTTTATGGACGCCACTGCCACGCATTCAGGGAAGTCGGCGCGGCGCACTAAGTTAATCGGGGCCTTTGTATATTATGCTAGAGTCTCACAAGTGTCGTCGTGACGTCCTTCGACGTTAGGATGAAGATTTCTGTTTAATGGCTTCACTCATGTATTTGTCAATATCCATATGTGCATTCTTGGTACATACTTTTTTTGTGACGTTGTACTCAAAGGTGGCGTTCGTAATCAAAAGTATACAGGTAAATATACACATATAATTGATACACACAAAACTGACCCAATGATAGCTACAAAGTGCTACTTGATCTCTTAAAAATTAGCCGCTTTACGACGAGGACTCCGATGTACTCGGACGTGAAATGTTAGTACACGTTACCCATGCTCCTAGCAGCACGCACATACACACGACGCTTCTGTCTCTGGTCGTGCATTCGAACCGGCATGTTAGTACGAAACAGAACAGTTCGAAAAGGTTTAAGAGAAAAAAGATTCAAAAACCTATACCGATGTATATAAACGAAATAGGTTTTTAATTATACTTCTTGTTTTCAATTTCATTGTGACTGAGGATGCAAGTTATGAAATTTCTTCATTGGTTTTGCTATTAATTTTCAGCAAGGGATTCAGTGGGATTTCTGGTAGCAGTTTAGCTCGCATCACTCAGCTGGAACTATCTGTGGTCAGTAGCTGATTATGGCCGCCGCGTTTAATCGGAGCATTGTAAACCGCCTTCGTGATTTCTAGTCGGGTATGGTATAGCCCACTAGCTTCCTAAAAGCAAGAAGGCTAACACACGAGTAAGTTCCAACTTTCCTTTTACTTCTCTACCTAGCTAATGGGTAGCTTTTCGATTGGTGTTGCTTTTATACATAGCGTAGTAATGATTGCCCAAAAGTTTCGCAGAATACGCGTCCTCCGTTTCATAGCCTTCATTGTGTGTTTCTGCTCTTGCGCACATATACATTTGCCAGCAAATTGCCCGATTCTTCACCCTCACCATAATCAAGCACGCTACGCAGTTGGTCGTGTCGTTAGAAGCTAGTCGAAAGGCAAAGCCAATATGTGAAGCTTTCTTTTACGTGAAGTCGGCACCGATATGCCTCTTGTAAACCGCCTGCTGGTACCGCACAGTGAAGACAACACAGTTTTTGCAAATACGAATCCGAGTTGTACTTGTGCCACCGGTTCTTTCCGTGGGTCAAAGGAACCGCTTTGCCTCTCTGCCGACACGTAACGACGAGTTGCTTCCAGTGGCCCCGGTTTTGATTTTTATAATTGTTAAAAATTATTTTTTTTGGGCATTTCTACGTCGGACATTATTGTGGCTGATGCCATAGCTATAGGTTTTTAGATAGTGGCCTGTTACCTAGAGAGGTTTACGTAACAGGCGAGAAAAAGTTAGCAGTTATTAGAAAATTAGCGACAAAACGTCGGGTTCCGTCCGACTCTCTTTCGATGCCGGGGATCGATTCGTGCTCTACCTCCCTTCTAACTGCTGTTTCGTGCCTTCCATTCGTAGGCTAGGGGTCTCGTGGCCGTGACGGTGCTGCCGTTGTTGTTGTTGTTGTTGTTTGTATTGTTTCTGTCCGGAGATCCACTGATCGCTGGTCAACACTTCGACTGTCCTACTGATCAGTTAATCATATCGTATAATTAATTTTTCATCAAGATCGTTCTGTTCAAATCTACTACAAGCCGTGGGCTCGATTTGGCACACGCCATTTGTTATGTGGCGGGAGCAGCATTAACAACTCGTTGAATGTTGGGCTATGATGTTCATCTCGAAGAGGGTGATATGAGGAACAAACTCACAATGCTCATCTTCAATTTCGTTACCAACAGGCGCAGCTATTGGTATCATGGGCCGCTTCGTTGCTACCAGCGCTTTGTTGTGGCCACCGTTTTTGCTACAGGTTAAATGCAGATGAATTTTTATGATAGACACAAAGAAATATATCCGCCAGCGAACGTCCACCGAAGCGTGATCAAAGAACCGCACAGAGTAACCACATTATGTCTGTCGCTGTCGTCGTTGACGGCTAAGAACAAAGCCACCAAGAATCATCAGCGGTGATGGAAGCATAGCAACAACAACAGCAGCAGCAACAAAACAACAACCTTTCAATGGCAACACTATGGAAATTAGTGTTGAGTCGTCATCAGATTCAGCGTCTCAATACCTATCTATCTATGACGAACTTTGTCCGACTACCTAAAAATTAAAATTGCACACGAAGATTTCGATAACGAAAACCGGGTTGCCTGCGAACGTAGCAGGCTGACACGTCTCCTTTTCGTCCATCGCACGCGGTCCACGCATGGCCGTGAGTGGACTACGGGAAAACTAAGCGGAAAGAAGGAGCAGATGATTTTTTCTGATTGTGATGCCAACATGATTATTTTGAGCTACAACTGAAAGTTATGGCAGTTATTTAACTTTTTTTTTTTTAAGGCCAAGACGATGAAAAAATTGAGCAAAGGCGTGCATAATGCCATAGCCAATGGTAGAGTTATTCTGATTTCAACTACGGAAAGTACATTATTAAGGACTAGACTAAGTTGATAACGGTCGGAGGAGAACGAAGCGTAGTTTGACCCCTTCTGCTTAGCTGTTAAAAAAGATGGGTCGAATAGAACCAATTGGCAAAGACACCCAAAAGATGATTGGGTTTATCGAGCAGCACACTGGAGCGGTACGTGGCAATGCATGATTCCGCATTTGTGAATGCTATTTTCCCAACTTGGATCTTGGTCTGTTTGAAGCCATGTCGAAATGGGCGACGCTTTGTTAATTTGCATCGACTGTGGAGGGAACTTCTTTAACGAGTACGAAAGTAGTAGCGAATTCATTAATGTTTCAATTGAATTTCCACTTATGTGGTAACTGTTTTGTATGTAACTGAATCTTTTTTAACAGATTGTGACAATACTCTGCGAGCGCCCACTGCTACGAGCATTAGTACGCCTCTCCGTAGGATACTATGGCCTTTTTCGTTATGCGATAGCGTCTGCACAATGTGATAAAGACTGTTTAGGCTTCAACTGAAATCTCTAGAGCGAATGCTGTTAAACGTGTCAGAATCGTTGGGAAAGAAGAAGTGAAAGGAAAACAGCTAAGAGAAAATACATCAACCTCAGAAAATTCACAGCTACGAGTCCCGTCTGTCAATAAAATTGCAATAAAAAAAAAAGTAAGCTGAGCGACGTTTTTTCTGTGCATTAGCGTCGTCGAACGTTGCTATTATGATAACAGACCGCGGGTGCTCGCACGACTGCTATGAGGAACCGATGCTGAGCCTGCGTGAAACGTTAGCACATCGCGATCGATTACCATAATTGACATAATACAAATTCTAGCTAGACCTCAGTTATTAATACAGGAACACAGATCTAAGGCCAGTCGTTCAAGATTTAAGCAGCATGCCTGCTTATAATTAAAGTTCAGTAATTTTTAGCTCGGTCAACTTCCCTTCCAAACATCCATGATTATCTAATCTACACTGTTTCATAATGTCCAGACCTTATGGGTGTGCTTGCCTCTTCTACATGTTACCAGGTAATATATTTTTCTCACTAGCACGTATATATTCTGTAAACTATCGTGCGCTAAAATTAGCTCTGCGTCTGGTTTCATCATCTTATAATCGGCTAGGATAATTTTGCTTGTCTTACTTGACTGCGCTGCATGATTACTAAGGAAGTAAAATAGATGCTGTGAATGGCCTTTGTGGACAACAGAACCCTCTGACAAATAAGGTAAGTCTGTAAAGACAACATTTATAGTTACGTCTTCGGTCTAGTTGTATTCAGAAAATATTCAGAGCCAAAAAATAAGTTTTCCTGGACTAAAGAAATGCAGCAGATCTTCTCTCATGCCATGTATACGGTGCACGATAGTTCCAACCACATACTGTGCCAAATACTAGCTTTATGAGCCCCAGTAGACGAGAAACATTTACTGGACTTTTTTGTTTTATTGCTTTTACCATAGCACTAAGTTGAGACAGACAGCGAAACTTATTTATTTTACACGATACAATTAGCATATTTTCAGCAGTTATATATATATATATATATATATATATATATATATAGAAAATATAGCGTGCGTTGATTTGGACCCGTAGTGTATAACGTAAAAGCTTAAAGTAAAATGGCGAAAAGATTTTATCGACGGCAGCGGTGTACGTTTGCAGGTATGTACGCGGCACTCTGATGGTATTTTCTATAGCATCGACGGTGAAAGCCGCTTGGACTATTGGGTGCCTGTGTGACGTCGCGCATCTGTACACCACGAAGTAGTATTGATATAGTTTTCATTGTTTCACAAAACGGTTTTAGCTAAAAGTCTTCCAGCGTCAATGGACCGAACGCGTTTATGATTTTGTGTGTACGCATGTTCCAACCGATATACGTTCACGCCTTATCGTATCACCGCTGTTATCTAAAGGGCGCTTTCCCGTATCGCTGATATCGTCGTAACAGTAAATGGGGCCGTTAGGTGACAATTTATGGGCTCAATGTACTGGCCCAAGACAAGGAAAACAAACAGAAATTCTGTACAAGGTAGCAATTAAACGAGCAGGAATGTCACTGGGTATTTCAAATGGTTCAAGCTTATGATATTTCTTCGTTCCCCCTCCCCAACTGGCGTTGCTGCTGATGGAACCCGCTACATGCAAGTAGAGGTGCGAGTTTTTGCCAGTTTGTAAGCTAAGTTTTTACATAGTTATAGAAATGCGTTTGTGTATTATACACTTTAGTCCAAAAACATAGCAGAACATTTTATCGTCTAGGACAAAATTTAACTTTTTCTGGTTAATGTCAGCTCTATAAATCTTCTATATCTGTAGACAGAGATAGAGTTGCGGCTGATTTGGTAATGTCTAGATATTGTTGAAAGGGAAATCTTGTTATTCAGAGCTGATCCGATGCAAGTTTCTGGGAGACTCAAGCTGATCCTATTAGCTATCCTCGTTCCGTTTAAAAGCGCGAACCCCGTAATACAATGAAACTCGGATACGTTTCGTGCGGCAGGTGACATGGTAGTTTCGCTTAGCGTGCGCTTACCAGAATGGATCGTGCAAGACGTTAGTTGCTATACGTTTAATGGTGGTAATTTAAATGAAAAGAAATATTTTGATTTCACAGAAATTGAAGACAGTTGACTTTAGACGAATTAGAATAGGACGCACAATGAAAGCACGACCAGCTCGCCAGTGCCTTAGCTATAGAAATACAGGTGTCCTTGAGTGATTTATGCCTGATATTCACGGTATTTATGATTCTAATTGAGGAAGTGCATATAAAAAGTGAATCTTTGCAAAAAAATATACTGAGACCTGCTACTTGCTTAAAAATGTTTCAAGTACTATAATTTATTGAATTTCAATCAACATTCTTGACGCGATTTATGTTGGAACATAATACATACATACAACAGTGTTGTACATTTGAGTATTCTAAAAATTGAAGATAAGATAAGATAAATGCTAAAAATTCTGTTAATTACCTTCTGGCATGACCTCGCAGAGTATTCAATGTGATAAACCACAATAAAGTATTTTCAAAAAGAGGGTATGACAATATCTTATGATTACCAAGTTCCTATTGTCGATTTAGCCACTATATGTTTGTACCGAGAGGTGGGAACAAGCCAGTGCGAAACATTTATGGCTTCTCGCTAGATAGATAAGGGTAAAATCCGTAGCCAATAGCCCGTAAATGATCCACCTATTCTGTTTCATCGTATCTCTTTGTGCAGTACTGGTGTAAATAATTGTATTCTGGATATTTTTCCATCGTGCAGTTCTGCTCTTTCAGATGTTATGGATACTTTGTTTGCAGGCTAAGGGGGCGAACTCAATACAATATATTGAAAGCGGGAATTTGCTTAGCTTTCTACGGCTCGTTGATCTCTTTCAAACTCGCTAAATGCACTACTCCTTTTAGAACGCGTTACCGATATGTTGTTTCTATCCAAAGAAGGATATCAAAAAATTATCCAACTACCCCCGATCTGTTGTGCTAAAAAATGTACAGAGTATCTAGTGCTTATGTTAATATAGTTTCAATTTTTTGTTAATCTTGCAGTAGCAGCAGGATGGGATATACCTGCCTACATGAACGGAAAGGAAATATGTTTCGAAGAATATTACGTACCTCGTAACATGTAATATCGGCAAAGTGTAATCATTTCGTTCTGCACCAGCTTACTGTGTGCAAAATTCTACTTTACGATTCACTACTGATCCAGCTCGTAGTCCTATGGGAAAGTCGAATGGAGACATATGGGGTAGCGGGCTGAGGCCATATCTCCTCAGGAGTCAGACTGCAGCAGAGTGCCAATGCTTCAGGTCGCATAGTCCACTAGCGACTGCTAGATAGCTTTGATCCGGTACAGCTATTGCCACGTACGGAATAGTGAGTGAAGCCAGATCTATCACGGGAGGTTAAACCAACTGATGGCGGGTTCCCGTTCAGTGCTTCGACCCGCTCATACAGGAACGGCCCCAAGATTAAGTCGCATCAACCCCCGACCAGACTGCAGCCAGCCAGTCAGGCTGTCTGTCTGTCTGTTCAAGGTGTATGACATAAATCCTTGCGTTCATTTGCATCTCATTTGTTCGACATTGCCTAGGAGATGATTTTCCGAGACTCAGACATATATATATATGCGAAATGCAAAGCTCAGCTTAAATGTTAACGTTCGGTTATGAATGATCACATAATTTTGTCCTTTAAACACGGTAGTACGAGCCTACATACTCTGGGGTGTCTGGTCGAGGTCAGGAAGGGCATATCTTATGGAAAAGTCTATTATGACCAACCTAACTATACTAAAGAATAGTTCGCGGTGTGCGTAATCTCAGCCCACTAACATTCTATGGTGTGTCATAGTTATTTTCCAGAGATTTTGGTTCTTCTTAGTTGATAATTACAATAGTAAATATGTCTATCAAATATTTGACTATTTCGTGCCGTATACCCCTCGCTCAATTATACTCTGAATTTATTCATTTCGCATGGGCGTAGCATGTCAACTTGATATCAGTATAGCCTCACTAGTATATATATAGATGTTTGAGGTTATATTGGTATAAATTTAGGGTCCGGCGAGAACAGGCTTTATCATTAAAGGTTCTTCAAAAAGCAATGCTTACCTAGCACGGTTTCGAAAAACTATATAAGATGACTTTCGAGTAATACCAGAGAAGCATGCTATAGTTAATTCTATCGGAAGCTAATTTTTTTGTAGAAGCTTACAGAGAATGTATCATTACGCAGGAAAATGGGGATTTGCTCAGAGTCTTCCGTATCTATAGAAGAGTTCGCAGCGTGAGATGGACAAATTAAGGCACGCAATAACGCGAATGCGGAAATGATGAACCCACACGAGCCAGTCATTCCTTTCATGGTCTGACATTATAGCTAAAGAGATAAAAACAGGTCATAATGTGCTTCTTTGAAAACTAGCCTCTTGTTCAACGTCATCATATGGATGTAAAGCTTATTGTCTACTGTTCACTGCTACGTTTAGCGTCATACTTTAGTTATTTTCTCGCATACTAAAGTTCACTTAGCTTCGTTACGGTGCAGCTGAGCTCATCGTATCACATCACTGGTCCGGTACTTTTTTGCCGATGATTTCGGTCTTTTTCTCTCCCCCTCACCTCTCGTTACGGCTGGCTGTACGTCTGTAACGCGTTACGCAACCTGGGCCTCGGCGCTGATACACCTTTCCGTCGAGCTCGCCTTCAGTAGTCAAAACGCGTTTTGCGGATGTCGCGTTGCCGGGTCGGGTAGGGTCAGCAAATCCGTCGCTGCTGCCGCACAGACCGCATCCATCTAAACACAACATTGCCTACATCTGTGCAGGAATCACGTATGACTGTCGGCCGCGCTATGCAGAAAGCGGTACTCACTGCTCGTACAACAGCGAGATACCGCGACAACAGGAGGGAGGATGTCAGGCTGTAGGCAACGACGGGATCGTTAGTTTCCTTCTACGCTCAGCCTGACATGGTTAAGGAAACAGTTATATCTACATACAAATACGTAGCTGGCTATATAGTGAAACTAAACAACATGTTGCTGTAACGTCG